GTGTCTTGCAAGTAATTGGTGCTTTTGTTACACTTCTTTTGCCAGAAACGAAAAATTGTCATTTGCCACAAACATTAGATGATGGAGAAGAGTACAAATAATAAGAAAAATCACATTTACATTTATTTATGGAAATAATGATATGCAAATTTTCAATAATTTACGCAGCATGCCTAATTTGCAATTTTATAAATATATACTTTATTTTATATTATATAAAAGAGGGCCTTTTTATACTTATATAATAAAATATAAATATAATAGGTAAGCTGCGGTCATAGGCTATTAACTTTTCGTAGTTAGTAATTAGTATATAGGTAGTTACTATACCTATTAATAATAATTTGTATGCCACTTAAGTAGATTTATTATGAAATAAAAGAATCCTATATATAAGTAAAATACCAAAATTTTGTTTTGAAAAATGAACGTATAACAACTTCATATTCATTTTTTTTTTTTTTTAATATACCTGTAGGTATAAGGTATACATCACTCCACAGTAATTTATATACCTACTCACTGCAAGCGTACTATTTACATAACTACGTAGCTAAATAGTTTGTATATCAGTAGTTTATTTTAGGAGCGTAAATTGGTGGGATTAGGGTGTGCGATTACACCTCTTATTTATAAAATAGTATACTAATTGACCAGCACTCTGCTGGGATAATGTTCAAAATTAAATCTTCTTAAATTATATTTTAATTTTTATATTGACATTTATCAATATTGATATACTGTCAATTATTAATTTTCACTAATTATTTATTATATTTTATTTTTACTATTTATATTGATGCAATGATTCCGGCCTATACGATGTATGAAAATAATTAAAAGCAGGATAATGTACATATACGTATATCTATTTTTATATGGCCTAGTAAAATTTCAAAATGACCTGTTTGAAACCTCGCACACCCGAAAAAAATATAAAATGACGCATTACTATTTTTTTTTTTTTTTTTTTTATTAAATAGAGGCTTCAACATCTGAGGTTATTAGCCTTGTGTACATGTTTTGAGTGGGTTACATTAATAATTAAATATCAAAGGTTACAATAAATAATAAGAATAATGAAATACGAAGGTATTGGTTAGAGATTGTTTACAATATTAATTTTTGTAAGGAAATTTAAAATTTTTATGGTGTTGTCTTCTTGGAGAGCTTCTAAATTGTTGGGTATTGATAAGGTACTTCGGATGTTTTGTAAATTTGGGCAGTCTAGGATGATGTGTTGGATGTTTAGGTCTTCTTGGTATTTATTACATATGGGTGGTGGATCTTTGCTGATTAAGAAGGAATGAGTCAAAAATGTATGTCCGATTCTCACTCGGGTTAGAGTCACTTCTTGTCGTCTGTTTAAATTGTGAAGATAATACCACTTTTTAGTGCATCTTTTGATTTTTTTTAGTTTGTTGGAAGACGGAACGGAATCCCAGTAGTTTTGCCATGTCTTATTTATTTTATTCCTAATAGATTTATTTATGTCTTTAGCCGGTAAGTCAGTCAGTCAGTGATTGTTGGATGCAGGATGGTTCTAGTCGCTATGTCTGCTGACTTATCGGCCATTTCGTTTTCGGAAATTCCAATATGAGATGGTACCCACATAAATTCTATATTTTTTTTTGTAGAATATAGTTCGCTTTGGATGTTTTGGGTTATTTCATTTGTCGAGAAGGGGTTTTGGAGTGCTTGGAGAGCGCTGAATGAGTCGCTTACTATTAAAATATTATTATTTGAACTGATAAGATTAATAGATCTAATTGCTTCTAATAAGGCGTAGTTTTCTGCAGTGAAAATACTGCTCTCCCGAGGAAGTTTGTGAAGGATTTTAGTTTCGTCTTTAATGATCGCAAAACCAGTTCCATCCTGAGATTTAGATGCGTCTAACTATTAAAATTATTGACAATCCGTTACACCATTTTTTCAGTACCATAACAGTGGAATTGTGTACCCGTATATATACGGGTACTCTACCCAAAGTTCTGCCAATTTTATTTTATATTTACAACATAGAAAATAAATACACATCTATTGGATAGTTTTAAGTAGTTCCAGACCTAAAGCATATCAAAATATGTAAATAATTTAATTTTTTTATAAATAGATAGATAGACACGGACGGCGGAAATAATAACTAGGTAGTTTGTGTGGATATTAATTATGTCATTATAAATATATTAAGATTAGGAGAAATGTTTTCAGTTTGGTATTACAATAATTATTAATAATAATATTCAAAATTATTAGAATTTAAATTGAGATCATTTGGTTTTCTTAATATGACCATGAAAAAACATTTAGTAAGATTAGAAGTTACATTAAAAAGTTGATTTACAAGAGAAGCTGTGCTAAAACTGGTTCGGTAACGACGTCGGCATGTGACACTAGGCACCTAAACTCTGTTAAATAATGTTTAAACGTATAATCATTATTTACTGGGGATGTATAATTATGTATTATTATTGAATATTAAATTAGAATAATATGGCCGCATAAGCATTATACAGTAGGGAGTAAGGACTATAGAAAGTATTCAAGTATGGGATAAGATTGTATGAAACTTTACCTAGCTGAGTACACTAGCTCTTTTTTTTATTTATTCTGTTATTCATAAACGTATTATAATCATTTAGAGAATAGGTTTCTAAGCTTCTGATTCTGAAAAACTTAACAATAAATAAATAAATACGAATACTATATTCATATTTTACAAAATACCTATACTAATTATAATTTATAGGTAAGTAAGAAGCATTGATCACATAGTAGTATAGTACGCTGTAAACACTAAAGTGATTTTATGTTTTGAATGAAAGGATGAACATTGATTTATATGATGATGTGTCCACTGTCCTTGTATGTCCTAACTTTTAAAAGGAGTAAAAATGCTTAGATTTTAAACTATGTAATACTTTTAGGATCACATAAATAAAAATTATTATTATATTTTTATTTGTGATTAAAAAACTTTGCAAATGTCTCGTAATACAAATATTCTCATAAGTTATTCTCACAGCGAATTAAAAATATCAAAAATAGTCTTAACTTTTTTTATAAGCATTCAAATTTCAAGATTTTACAAAATTCATCAAAATCGCGTAAATTAGCAAATTATTTCATAGTTAAAAATGTATAGGTTAAGTATACTTTATTTTTACAACTAACTACTAAGGATTGAAAAATAATCATTATGTTTCTCAACATTCAAAATACCATTTTTTTTTTTTCAGTTTTTAACCGACGATGCCGCGAGAACTGCTTTCGCATTGCTTACCATTCAAAATACATAAAAATAATACAATACATTTTATTTTATAGACATTTTAACTTAAAATTTTGACAAAATTAGTCATTTAAATGAAAAATAATTATGTATTTTGTTATAATTTAAGTATTTAAGAGTATTATTCATAGTTCTTAGGGATTTGAAACTTTTTACTACTTTATTTATGATATTATTTTCTATACACAAATATATTACAAGAATATTTAAATTAATGTTAAGCCATTTGTTTCGTAATCCTATTGACATTGACACTATTCTACTATACGGTACTACATTCCTAGTATTTCGTTAACTAATAAATTAATAAGAGTTATTACTTATTAGTAATAATTTATAATATAAAAATAATATTTTAACTAATATTATAAATATCCAATAGGTGTATATATACGTAAAATATATAACAAAATCTACTATATTAAATATTAATAATAGAAAAATAAATTACCTATACTAAAAGCAATGTAGATAACAGATATTCGGTATAATTTACCTAACATGCTTACCCTCTTTTTCCTTTAATAATGCAATTATTCAAAATTTAATTTTTTTAATTTTTAAATTAATTTTGAGACTATATTATTATTTTTAAATTCTTGATTTTTTTTTCTTCTTCGTAGAAAATTCAAAATTCTGTTTTTCATATGATAATTCCCTCCTCTACTTTTTACTGTAAATTATTTACTAAACAAATTTTCTATAAGTTTACACATCATATCAGAATCAAAATTAAAATTTGTACAAGTAATTTTTGAGTTATTAAACTTTGAGTATCAAGATCTAAGAATAATAAGTCCACAATATAAATTCGGGAGATATGGAAGACACGAACATGATTTGAACATTTTAGAAATTAGTATCAAACTATCAACATTTATTATTTAGTAAAAATGATTTTAAATGGTCTGAGTATAATAGATACTATCCATGAGTAAAACAAAAAAAAAAAAAAAATCAATAATTTTAATATTTATGTATATATTATATATTTAAAATTTCTAAACATTAAAGTTCAAATTGATTAATTATTTAAAGAAAAAAATAAGAATGAGCATGCTTGGTAAATTATCATGAAAAATAAAAATCCACTGACAGACCATCTCTTCTCAGAATTGTTTTTTATCATGTACAATGATTTATTATTGAATTTAAACATAACACATCCATTATTTTATTGCAGCGACTTCAATGACATGGAACACTCAATACTTTCTATACAGTAGAACAAGTTTTAAAATAAATCTAGGAGAAATATATAATACAATCTTTATGGGCATAGGTTAATATTGCTTATCTTTATAATATTGTTTTTAATAATTATAGTGTATTGAACTATATAGATAATATTATATTATCTAATAAATATGTAACTATCTAAATGTAATGATACATATTTATTTATTGAACTTCAATTTAATTTTACTTTCTATTTTTAATAATGATAAACTGATAACTTTACAAGTAGTAGGTGTAGTTACATTAGATTAGGATATATTTTTTTACAATTCAACAACATCCATTATTCTCATTTTATCTAGGTATTAAGTAATTATCTATATATTTATATAATAAGCACAGAATAAATTTATTCTGTGTAGTAAGTACTTATTTGATAAAAATAATGACATTTGCATAGTTTATTTAACGCTTGTTAGTACATTTTTATTTTTGTATAAACACTACTTACATTGAATAATCAACTGTAATGGCAAGTAAGTATTTCAATCTATATATGACTATTATATAGGTAATAATAATATTTGATACAATAACAAAACTTAATTTTATATGTCCAATGCTTAGATTGTAAAAAACAATGTGGACCTGGATACAAAAGTCCTTTAGATGCATTTATTAATGGAAAACGAGAAACTATTTTGTACACTATATGTATTCAACCAAATACATTAACAAAAAACAAATCTGATTATATGGCTACTATTGATGTAAACCCAAATAGTCCTACATATTCTCAAGTAACAATACATTTTGTGTTCCTCTTAATGTTAAATAGATATTATTTATAAGTACCTACATTTTGTTATTAACAGGTGATCTTTAGAACAAGTTTTGAAAATGTTGGTGATGAACTACATCACTTTGGGTGGAACACTTGTAGTAGCTGTTATGACGATAGTACAAAAAGCAGAAATAAAGTAATTTTGCCTTCTTTAGGATCTGATCGAATTTATATTTTGGATGTAACAAACGAAAAAGCTCCTAAGTTACATAAAGTAAAAAGCGTACTTAAATTTTAACAATTAATGCCACATTAAAATATAGTTGAGTGAATAATTTAATTATGTTTGATTTATAGACTATTGAACCCAGTGAAGTCCATGCTTTAAATGTATCAACTTTACATACAACTCATTGTTTACCTAATGGTAATGTTATGATTTCAACAATGGGTGATGCCGAAGATAATGGGAAAGGTGATTTTTTATTGATAGATGCTGAAGAAGGAATAGTTAAAGGTAAATTAAGTATCAATAAATTGAATCCAATAGATTTTAGCTAAATCAAAAATGTATCAAACATTTATGTATGTATAGACTTTAAGTTATTTATTTACATTAACTGTAGAAACGTGGACAAAAGGCAACACGGCAAAATTTGGATATGACTTTTGGTATCAGCCATACTGGAATATTTTAGTATCATCTGAATGGGGGACACCTAAAGATTTCAAAACCGGTTTTCATCCTGATCATATTAATGATATTGGTATTTACAATGTTTAAACCTGGTTATTTATTTATTTAACACATATTTTATAATTTTAAATATGTTTATAAAATAGAAAAATATGGACGGTCAATCAATTTTTATTCTTGGTCTGAAAGAAAATTATTGCAAACTATTGATTTGGGTACAGATGGCATAGCTCCTTTAGAAATACGATTCTTACACAATCCTAAAGCTTCAGAAGGATTTGTTGGCTGTGCAGTAAATAGCAATGTTTTTAGGTATTAATAAATGGACTATCTCCCATTATGCAGTTTACCACTGTTTTGTAAACTATCTAGAAATGATAAGTTTCTATAATATGCAGTCTACAAATGTGTTATACTCATCAGTTCATATAGCTGGGATACACACATATCTATAATTATTAAATTATTTATTACTTTAAACTAATTTATGCACTCAATCTTTAAATTATACACTGGTAAATGTAAATTATAAAACCGATATAGTTAGGTACTCATCATGAGTTTAATTGATTTAGTGTTATATGCGTTATATTATAGCAATTACTTTAACTAGTATAGTTATGGTAATCAGACATACTTTTTTTTTATGCATTATCTTAGTATCCTTAACAAGAGTGTTAAGTACGTGAAATTGTATTAACTTTTGAAATTTTATGGGTTAATTATAAATAATAATTATTCATTTACATTTTATGGGTCAATTTAATGTATATTAATACAAGATACTATGTAATATAATTGAAGTTAAATATGTAGAAAACATATTATTATATTAATAAATTTTTGTATTTAAAGTTTTATTTTAACAATTATCACTCATACATCAGAATATTTCTTATATTTTCAATGTATTAAGTTTCAAAGTATTTTCATCACAAAGAAACACATATAATAGATAATGCAATTTTAATTTAAAATAATTAGTTTTTATAGTTAATTATAAATATTGAAATAATAATCAGATAAAAAATAAAATAAAGCAATTTTTATAGAAGGAGAAGATCTATGGACAAAATAAGTAAAATAGTTTATACATTGTCCAATTCTCTAAAGGGAGGGTTTTTTTTTTTTAATAATAAAGGAGCATAGTTTTAAAATATACTTTTCTAATTTTATATCTAGTCACCATAAGTATAGTAGATTATAATCAACCTTTTAAAATACTTGTTTACTGTTGAATAAATTTTTAATTGAAGAATCCACAGTTAAGTTACAGTTAATAAAATTAATTAATTTAATCTAATTTTTTTTTTTCTTTATTTCGATAATTTCGTTTTTATTTTCATAATTGTTTATTATGTGTATCATCACTGAGTTCAATAAAATTTGCATTTTATACTATACTTGATATTTTTATTATTATTGCGGTAAACTAGTTATATTGGGAGATAAAAGTTAATAAGTGTTTATATTATATTAATGAGATAACTTAAATTAGTTATTCTCTAAAAAGTTTTGATAATTATACATAAACAATACAGTTATATAAATTAAATATATTTACAGATTTTTCCGTACAGATGATGGTACTTGGGATTCTGAAAAAGTGATATCCGTACCTAAGAAAACTGTAAAAGATTCTAACGGATTAAAAGAAATTTCAGGTAGTTTTTTTTTTGTTATCAAATATTCAAATAAAGTTAAAAAATATTAGTTTATGATTTTAGGAATGATCACAGATATTTTAATATCCATGGATGATAAATATCTATATTTTTCAAATTGGTTGCATGGAGATGTCAGGCAATATGATATAACAAACACAAGCAAACCAAAATTAGTTGGTCAAATATTTTTAGGTGGACTATTGTTGAATGATGAATCATTAACTGTTGTTAAAGACTCCGAGCTTAAAGTATATCTTTAAATTATTCCAAAAATCTAAGAAGTAACTGAGTTTATTGATTTAAAGGAACAACCAGAACCTGTATATATCAAAGAAAGACGTTTGTTTGGTTCACCTCAAATGCTTCAGTTAAGCTTAGATGGGAAAAGGCTATATGTAACTACTTCTTTATTTACACCATGGGATAAACAGTTTTATCCAGAATCTGTAAAGTTAGTTTACTTTAAATTTTTTGGTTAAAATATGATATGTTTAAGTTTTTTATGAAATTAATGTCCTAATAATTTTGAAGAAGTAGGATAAGTCATCATAATTTAGTATTAATTGTAGCATTTAAAATTATCACTTGATATTTCATTTGCTACTTACAATTATGTAATTTATTACCTAAATACATATATGAGTATCATATATAACTATACAAGTAGACTATCTATTTTTATACATTTATAAATATTTATAACTATTATTTTCAATACTGTTTAGATTAATTTATTATTCTGATTTTATGTTATAGAAATATAATTTATCTAGATAAACTTAGCCCTACTTATTTATAAATCATTGGGGGAAATGTAAAATAATCTCATGCTTAATAAGTTAAATATACTTAACATTTAAACTATTAAAATTAAAAATTGCAGACATGGATCTACATTAGTTAAGCTTGATGTGGATACTATTAATGGAGGTTTAACTTTGGACCACAACTTTTTGGTAGATTTTGGAAAAGAACCAGATGGTCCTATCATGGCACACGAAACAAGGTAAATATTGTGTTATTGAACCAAAATAATAATTAATTAAATTAATGTTATAATAATTTAATCATAATATATGAAATCATAATACAATAAATAATAATTATTAAATAAACTAATTAAAAAAAAAATCAAAAAGTAAAAGCTACAGTATTGTATTACCTTAATTTGACTATTAAACCAGTCTATTTGCAAAATATTTCTCTAATGCAATTCTGTAAAACTGTATTTCAATGATAATATTATTTATTATTATAGATATCCAGGAGGTGATTGTACTTCAGACATTTGGTTAGCTGAAGATTAGAAAATTAACATATTATTAAGTAAAATAGGTACTTAATATTTTAGAATTTTTTTTATTTAGATAAATCATAATAGGTTATATATCTACTATGGTTAGAATAACACAAAATATATAATATTGCAGTAAATTATTTATGAATTTTTAAAAATAAACCCTAAACAGCTTTTTAATAGTAATTGTTATATAATAAAATCACAAGTTGCAATAAGTAGCAAGTTAGATATAATACAAATTACTATTATTATTTTTTATACATAAGAAAATGAGGTGTCAAAATTTATTTTAAATTAAGCTCATGTTATATTTTATATTTTTATGCTATTAATTAGTACAATTTATACCTATATTATATGAATAAATTATAGTTTTTTTTTTTTTTGTTTGTTTATACTGTTTATAGAGTAATTTATTATTATTATTAATCTTTAATCACAACATAATTTATCTACAGCATTTTCCATAATTTATTTTTAAAAATTCTATTAGATAGTAAATAGTAATTAGTAATTAGTTTATGATAATTATCTTATGAAATGGAGCAAAAGAAAAATGTTACGAATAAAAATTACAAAACTTACTAAATCTTATAGTTATTCTTCTTAAAAATTGGTGAACTTCATTTATTCTGTATTATACTGATATAATTAAAGATGATTTATATTAATCTTTATGCATAAAAATTAAGCATACAACAGGTTTGCGTGCAATGCACTCCAAAGACCAAAACTACACGATCTAATTTTAAATTTTGATTGTGATTAGGTCCAACTTAAAATATAGAATATTGAATAGTTATATCTCGATTAAAAATATATGAGAAAGAGAAGAAAAGATTAACCGGTTTGACTTTGGAATAGTGCGTCTGAATGTCTGATATTGTGATTTGTATTATATTTATAATTTTAAATCTAAAAATAACTCTATGGTATTAATTAATAATAATTTTGATATTGTACCCAATATTTAATACTGCAACTGCAACAATTATTGTACCTCGTATTCTTGTGTGATAATGTGATAATGTGATAAAAATAATAATAAAATATTTTTAAATTAATATTAAATTTTAAAGTATTTGATGTTTGATGTGATCAAAGACTATGTATAGACATGAATATAGTATATACCAACATGAAATTATGAAATAAGATAATATAGTTCATATATATTAAATATTAATAATGTGTAGTGTGTACCCGTTTTAAGTTTTAACGGCTATGGAACTACTAAAGCACTAAGTATTAAATGAGTAATGACGCTGTATATTTATACTTAATAGTTGTATAATGTGTTAAACCACTTTAATCGATATAAGACACATTATTTTTACCGTGCTTTTTAAATACAAATAATTAATATTATAAAATAACATGCACATTATGAGAATATTAATTTAAGCATTAAACTTTGGTTAACTTGAATAAATTTTCAATCAAAAACTTAATATTGGCTAGAGCCTAAAAGTAAAGTACCACGATCTTATGTTTTTATACAACGAGCATTTTGCAGTGGTGTAATTTCAAAATTTAGGCCTAGGAATCTTTTTAACAGCCTCTCCTTATCTGTGCATTATATAAAATAAAGAATACATTAATTTTATTAAAATTATTTTATACATTTAAAAATAATACTATTGTCAATTGTCATATTTTCTTATCAATTCATAATTGTAAGATTTTGAATTTTTTAAAATAAACATTACATTACTTTGGTCAAAGTAGTTAATCAATAATTTATTAGTTTATTACTTATACAATTATTAACAGCTATGTTTTGGATTGTTATTTATTTTTGTCACTAAGTGCTAGTGTGGTGCTAATCTGTCGTTCCACAGCTGTTTTGGCGACTCAGTTTGACGGTCTTGAAAAATACATTATATTTATATAATATATTTATCATAGGCCGATGCTTATTCCGTGATATTATCATAAATCGTGCAGTTATGAAATTATGATATGATAGCGATGAGTTTGAACTCTTTGAAGTGTTGGATGACTTAAATGACAATATAGCATAACATTATAACAATAAATTCACTTCACAGTTCACAAATTATAGACTTAAAGTGAAATTTTTAGTTTACTGTTACTACTCTTCTAACTGTAGCAGTGTAGTCCGATTTCGGTTATTATTTTGTGTAGCGACTAAATATGTGCAACAATCGACGGTTAATACTGTGGTATTAGTGTATTACGATCAGTTTTTAAGTTTTAACGTGATGTAAAAAAAGTCTTAGTTTATAGTCGTTACTGACTGTGTTGTGTTTCGTTGTTAGTACTGGTATAGTTAACGACTAGTGTTCACATTATAACTATGGCCATAGACAAAAATACTATGCGCTCAAAATTTAATGAGCAAATACAATTAATTTTAATGAATAAACGTGAAGATAATAATGCTTTTTTATCGACCAGTGATTATAGCAAAGTTATTCAACAGGTTAAAAAATCAAAAAAATCTTTAAACACTGTTGGTGAAAAAAAAACAACAAAAGACTATCGTGTAATACGTAAGTATGATATTTTAGTTATGGACGGAAAAGAACATCTGATTAGACCTATTGATGAAAAAAATGTAGTATTGTACTATGCAACAGTCGATGAACTATTTGACATTCTTTATGATACACATTGTGCAATAGGTCATGGTGGACGAAATCGTATGGTATCTGAACTTAAAAATAATTATTGCAATATAACTAATGAAACAATTATGGTATTTTTAAAATTATGTGCTGAATGTAATAAAAAAACTGCATGTTCAAAAATAGGATTAGCACCTAAACCAATTTTACAGTCGACTTTCAATTCTCGAGGACAAGTAGATCTAATTGACATGCAGACTCAACGTCATAATGATTATAGATTCATAATGAGCTATCAGGAACATTTGACTAAATATATTATCTTGAAACCACTAAAATCAAAATGTGCTGAAGAAATAGCTTATAATTTAATTGATGTCTATACTATATTTGGAGCACCTTCAATATTACAGTCGTGTAGTGGAAAAAAATTTGTAACTTCAATAATTAACAAACTTCATGTCATATGGGATGAAGTAAAAATTGATTACGGATGGCCAAAACACAGTGAAAGTCAAGAATCTGTAGAACGAAATAATAGAGATGTGCAAGAAATGTTATCTGTTTGGATGAGAAAAAAAAATAGTTTGGATTGGCCATCAGCACTGAAATTTATTCAGTTTAAAAAAAATCGGACTTTTCATCCAGGTAAATACTTTGTTATATATTTTATTTTTATTGTTAATATTATTTAAATTTATATTTTTACTTTTTAGGCATTGGCACATCTCCCTATGAAGCGATGTTTGGATGTACTGCCAGAATAAGTTTAATGACATCTAATCTTCCAAATGCTGAAATAACGGAAATAAAAACTGAAAAAGATTCATAGAATATTATTCATGTTTTAATAATGAAAATGACAACAACAAAAAACATTTACCAAATGAAATTATGGCTTATTATCAGGAAGATAAGAAATAGCTATTTGTAAAAGAAAAACCCTTGAACTACGATGAAGTGACTAAATTAGCAAATGAAAAAAGGGAACTTCAAGTAAAGCAGGCTACTAATAGTTGTATAATGGATTATTCAGGAATACCATAGCAACTGTTGCAAGTTGGTTATTAAAAATAAACATTTTGCCTGCAGCAAGGGGCACTATAGATACATTATATAATAAATAAATAATGTATAATTTTATACAAATTGTATTCAAATAAAAAGGTATCTAAAATATTTTATTGTAACTAACATTATTTTATATTAACCAACAAATTATGATAATTAAAATTAAATGTTGGTAATAAATAATAATATAAATGTAATTTAAAAATAAATATCTAATTACCTCATCATTAAGTAATTTGAGTAAATATTTAGTTTATAAAGATGAATAATTAATAATTACCTATACAATTTTCTAATTCACATAATGTATATTATGTACATAATAATATGTATTATAGACTATAGTTAATAATTATTTGTATGACACTTTTACCCTAGTCCTAGTGGCCTAATCTATTGTGACATATTTATTGGTGGGTATGGTATTATCTCTCACCTGTAGGCTGTAGACTAGACTTTTCATAATTAAATATCTCGAGCATTATTATAAACATTGCGTAAATTATTTTAGTATATTTAAAAAAAATTAGAAATATTACATATTAACGAGGTTTTTTTTTCATATTATCTGTGTGACTATTGGCTGTATCTGTAAATTTATTTAGTTAATAATAATGGGTATAAGTCAGGGCTGGGCAAGATACCTCAAAAAAAGTATCTAAATACAAGATACATTTATAACTAGTATCTAAATACAAGATACAAGATACTATAATATTTTTAAAGATACTAGATACAAGATACATGTATCTGAGATACGTATAAGATACAAGATACTTAATATATTTATTTATTTTTATTAATTTCTTAATTTACCTTGGATACAATTTTATCATACATAATTTATATTATATTATAGCTTATAAATGTATAATGATACATGTATTTGATGTGGAATTTATTGCTCCTGAAATAATTCTGTTTTCTTTTTTTTTCTCTTTACATGTTACACACATAGCTTTTACATTAGAATTCACATTTATTATTTCATCAGAATTTAAAATCGTATAAAATTTGCCATCAAAACATTTTGGAAAATTAACAATTACATTATTTTGGTTATCCATGTTTTTAATAATTGATATTTAGATATTAAATTAATATTTACAAATATTAAAACAATGCACAAAATATAATTTTTCGTCACTTTATCAGAGCTAACTACACAAATACCGCATAGATGCATAATACTCACGAGACAGACAGCTGACAGATAATGAACCGACAGTCGTCAGTCGGCGACCGGTGATCAACGAAGTCTTATCGCTGATATAATATTATCGCCACACACCAAAGTTACTTTAATCTAATCTTAAAACATATTATTACTTATTGGGCAATTGGGAAAACTGTTATATAAATGAAATATGAAACATATTTCTTGAATGAGTTGAATGTATCTAGTATCTTAATCATAAAAAGATACTAGATACAAGTAAATAAAGTATTTAAATACCCGATACAAGATACATCCAAATTATGTATCTCGATACAAGATACAATTGTATCTAAGATACGTATCTTAAATACTAGTATCTAAGATACTGCCCTGCCCTGGTATAAGCCCAATATGTACAGTTGCAGTAAAAATAATGATAATTTAGTTAAAATTTAACTTGAAGGAAATTATGGAGAGGCCTATGGGTTTGGAATTAAAAAAATTGTTAATCAGAATATAAAGCTGGTAAACAAATAATTTATTGAGTAGACCTGAACCAAATCTGGACCGTTTTATATACATAGGCGTGCGCACGGGGGCTGCAGAGGCAGCATATGCTATCCCTGGACTTTCTTTGGGACTACTGCGACTGGTAAATTTCGTGTAATGGGCCTCGGTAAAATTATATTTTCACAAATGATCATTGTAGATAAGAAAATGATAAAAAAAAATTTTTTTTTATTTTGTAAAGTATAGATAAATATTTTATAATTTACTAGTATAAAACTAATAGACCTGTCTACTATAAAAAATAGCCATGATTTTAAATTGTAAATATTATTTATTATCATTTATGGTCAAGAAATCTAAAAAAACTGGATTTTTAACGTCATCGTCTAGTGCACATACACCAATACGCCATGACACTTGTGAAAAAGTACACCTTTAGTGGTTTAGTACCTTACTGTACATTTTTTTAAATAACCTATACAATTTTAATTTTGATACCCAATAGTCAATACTCAATAGTAAAAAAAAAAATAAAATTATGGGCCGGTTTTAATAGTGAATTTGAAAAATGGGCCGAATTAATCTCATGCTGTCCCTGAAACCGGAGGTTGTACACGACTATGGACTATGGTTGTATACAACACGGACGAAGACAATAACAGCTTAGATCAATATACTAGAGTAATTGGATTGGTATCAACATCGTTAAGTGGATAGGGAGTAGTAAAAAACGATTAAATGTTTTGACACTGCCACTCACCTTATTTATAAATGGTATAAATAATATAAATAAAGTATTATGTACTTACTACTTATGTATATCAATGATAAATTTATAATCATAGTGTATAATAAACAAAAATAAAAAAAAATGATTAAAACTTTTATGTTTAAGAAAGAATAAAGAGTAACGCTTTCTTAACTATAATAATTATTACATAATACATGCTATAGGTATTTATAATACTTCGTGGAAGCAATGCGCAAGCGGTCCTCACGGCGTCGTCGATTTTAAACTGTGAAAAAAAAAAAAAAGGGTACCTATTTATAATACATGTATAGAATATAAATTGCGCTTTACCGGTACATACTTATTCTTTAAAGCGACTCATAACATTTTTAACAGTAACTTTACTTTATAACATGCTATCGATACCAATTACAATAAACTTAGGTATTACTTAACTGAAATACGCTAAAATTCACGATTGAAGATATAGTAATATAATATATAGTATATAGGCACACTATGGTTACTCATCATGCATCGATCACGCTACCACAATCACTATAAAACGACTTTTCCGACAATCATCATTATGAAACTAATAATCAGGGGCGTATTTAAGAAGTACTATGCTCCCTAATACACCTATTTTATTATTGAGAGTATTAGCCTCTTGGGCAACTGGCAGCTCGCGAACCTTTTTTATCTGATAACTCTTTTTTTGCTTTCTATATTCTGGCCTGCTTGATATTTTTCTTTTAATAGTATATTTGGTAAAATTTTAGACAGAGTATGCTCCCCCCCTAAAAAAAATTCTGGATACGCCACTGCTAACAATTAACTGTATTTAACATTGTAATGGTACAGAAAAGACAAATACAAGACACTAGACAGTACTAGTTTTACAAGCTTAAAGTTTAAAAATATTGGATAACTTACAATTTTAGATAATACTAGGATACTCTGATGATTTTTGGATTACGTTACTTATATCTGAACATTCGTTTTTCTGTTAACTATTTTAATTTGATAAAAATGTTGTAACATACCTTTGAGTCCTTATACGTCATAAGGACTTTAAAAATTTGTTTCTAAATTTGTATTTTTATAACTAATTCTCAAATATGCCGTTTCATGCAAAATAAATAAACGATAAAAAATTAAATAAAACAAAAAAGAAATTTTCAAAACTAGAGATCATATAGGTTAATTATTACCTATTTATGTTAATTATTTTTGTTCTGACATATTTTATATTTGTATTTAATTAAAAATAATCCAATCATGAATCAATAAATCACATTTATAAAAACTTTCGTTTTTTATATTTGTGAATACCTACATGACTACATATTATTGTCTATTGTTCATTAGACGTGCATACTTTTTTTTATTAAATTTTAATGATTTTATGATTTAAAATCTATCATCTATATTCTATATCATATTTTATTTACAACTTTATTTACTATCATGATTTACTGATAAAGACGTTATAGTTGTACTAATAGTACATTTTTTCTCGAGGGGAAGGGGTAAAGCTTAAGTCAAAATATCAGTATTCTGTATTGGTAAATCAAAACCAACATTAACATTTGTGTTACGTTTATTTTGTTAATTTGTCATTTTACTATCAATTATTTTTTTTAATTTACTTCAAAAAAAATTTGTAAAAATCACAATCAACTTCTTTAATTTAAAGGCTGTGATTATTAAATTATACTAAATTTCATAGTTTCTCTGCATTTTCTATAATTTAATGTGAAACTTTGAATTTAGGTACTACATTCGGCATGTCACATATTATATTTTAGTAATGATTTAAGTCTAAAATATTATTTTGGTAAATAATTTTAATTATTATAAAAATATTTTCTAATAGAAATAAATTGTTGCTGAAAAATCAATATCATTAAGCTAGCATAAGATTTGGTAACAAACAGAAAAAATAATTTTTTTTACAAAAATTGTATATAAACAGCCGATACTATTTTAAATTTTATCCGCATGGAGCACTGCTACAATAAAAATATAAGAAATTAATTTCATTTTCGATCTTTTTTTTTAAAACAGCTAAGCTTAAGCAACCTTACGTCCAAAGCACGGTCCATGGTCTTAGATTATTATGTATATATATCTTAGTTCGTGGCACGATTTAAGATAATATATAATTTAATAATTTATTATCTTTAATCGTGGCCAATGGTGCTGCTGCAATATCATCTATACTCTATAGACTATAATATACAGCCGTATTCATGATTACAAAACTAACTTATCAATACCAACATTATAGCAATGTATTTATTTGTCGTATCGCATTTTAGTCATTAATCACATGCTACCTAGTTGTAGTGTCTACTGTGTTACAACTGTTGTTTGTTTTGATTATGGTCTGATAAAATCGTGGGCGGATAATGATATGTTGTGTGTCTTTAATTTAAGTTTTATTATTTTTACTGTTTAGAATTTTAGAATTTAAAGTCTTATAGATAGTCTAGTTTAATAGTCTTTTTAGCTCGAGAGGATTATCAAATTTATTATTTAATATTATGATCACTTTCTGTTCCTGAATTAATCATATTATATTTATTAATTCGTTTAAAACCACGTAAGTCGTAGTTTGATAAATAACTTGATTTTGAGGGAGTATCTCTTTAAAATAAAAATACGATTAATTTCATTTCATTTATCATACCTTAAAGAAAATTTACTTTAAACTAAGTCCAAATTAATTTTAATTTTTATGAATATATATAATAAATAATATAGTTGTTATTTTATTGGGCATATTTTTTCTAATTTTAAAATAATAATGTATTAAAATATTTTTTAAATTTCATATTTCATATAAAATTTATTATGATTTATTAATTGCAGCATGACTGCTGATAGAAGAACTACAGACTATCGTTTACAACTTTTACAAGAAATGCGATGTCAGAATTATGATATGATACGTTTTGCATCTTATAGAACGGCATGTAAACTTAGATATGTGCAAAAAAAAGTTTATTGTGAGTATTATTTAAATTTATTAACAATGAACATAATTATTATTGGACTAATCAACTTGACATAAAAATATTTTTATTTTATAAACATTCATGTTTGTTTTATTTAGTTCTATTTATATATTTATGGATCTCTAACAATTTAGGTTATATTGATGGTTAAGATTAAATATAACAATTTTGTAACTTATCAATTTATAATAAATGTAGATTGATAATTTAAACAACAAATATAATACTTAATAATATTTTACAAAAACTTTTTATCATTATAAATCACTAAAGAATAGAGATTAGTATTTTACTGTTGCAGATGGCAAACAGGTTGACTACGATCAACTAATCAATCACAATATGGCTTTTAATCAATAGAACTCTGCATGTCTCTTCTTAATTTTTTTTTTAGAAAAGAATAAAAACAAATTTATACGGGAAATTTCTTTATAAAGTTTTTGTTTTTACCTAACCCATGAATATAAAAATGTATTATTATTATACAATTTAATCTATTTCCTTTCAGCACTAGCATTTATTTAATTGTACAACAAAACTATTGGAATATATTTAATTAAATTAAATAATTAATTGGTAGTTAAAATCATCAATCAAAAAAAAAAATGTTCAGACCTATTGTGAATGCTTTTATGTTACCGAGCATAATTTTTCTGATTATTTGAAAATTTCAATTAACAGCCTTTTAATAATTCTAAATTAAATTATTTATGACCATAAGCTATCCAATGTCATTCAACAATTGTTAGAGCAGGGGATACTTTACATTGCTACTTATGTGATAAATATTAAAAATAATAAATAAAAAAGTTTATTGTCCATTGCTATTTTTAAAAATAGCAAGAAGTATTAACTAATATAAATATTTAAATTATAATTAAATTGTAATATATATAATGAATTAATAGAAAAGTTATTTATTTAAATAGCTATTTATTATAGGTACATTGAGACTTCTCACATTTTGTTTGAAATGATTATGAATTATGATTATAAATAATGATGGTTATTAAATTTTTCATTATACTGTCAAAATGTTTGATGAAATATTATAAGTATAGTTTAAAGCATTGAATATATGTATTAAGTTTTAAATTTTATCATTATTATTTTTTCATCTTTATTCATTATTTTATGTCAAACATTTATCATTTATTAAAATTAATATTCATGCAAATATTTTTTAGTACACATGATTGATATATGGAATGTAATCGAAGCATTTCGTGAAAATGGATTAAATACACTAGAGTCTCACGTCGAAGTAAATGTTTCCAAATTTGAGACGCTTTTAACTAGTCTGTATCTTAATTTGAATAAACGATTACCAACTCAACAACGTGTACATGATGATTTATTAACTACAATTCTTCTGAATTGGATTATGTCAGTTTATTCTGCGTAAGTTAATCTTTTTATTTAAAAAAGTTAAATAGTTAAGAGAATATTGGTCCAGTATGTGTTGACTCTGTATTACTAATGCATAACTCAGTAAATTTTATGTCAAGAAAAATCCATAAAATAAAAAAAGTAATTTTAAAATGCTCATATATTGTTTTAAAATTTTTTTAAAAAATTCTAATATAAGATCCCCAAAATAATATTCATTCCTTTAAATTTTATAACAGGCCAATTTAGTTATATTAATAACATTAGATAATAGTTTTCTTATGTACAATTTGATACTTTGTGTATTAATGCAAAATACTTTATTTTTTTTTTAAATTATTACAATTTATGACTATATTGCTTAATTTGAATACTATAATATATAATATTATGTATTTGTATTATATTGTACATAAATAAAAATATTTTCTAGCCAAGGAAAAGTTTCTAAATAAAAAAATCTTTAAATGGTATGCCTAGGAAGATTAGAACTAATAATTGGTTTTGAACTTCATGTGTACACCAAATAAGTTCTTAATTACACTCTTTCAAATAGATGGTTCAATATAAAAATATTTGTTTTTTTAAACTATCTTTTAGCATTTATTTATTATTGTTTCAAGTAATTATTTCACTTAAATGTTAACATTATTTTTTTAAATCACAGTTTTAAATCTATTCATAACATGAATTTTATTTTATTTTTATTCAATATTTGATTTTGATTTATCAGAATACCATGTAAAGGAAATAAGTACTGAAACTATAATTTTAAATATCCTTTGTTTATCTTAAATACACAAAAATTGATTAAATTATTGAAGTCAATATTTAATATTGTTGATTATAAATAAATATTATTTTAAATGTTTTTTTTTTTTTTTTACAGTAATGATACTATGGGAAGAATAAGAGTATTATCTATAAAAGTAGCTTTGGTTACAATGTGTTCAGGGAAACTCATGGATAAACTTAGATGTAAATTAGTTAATACAAAATATTTTATTTATAGATATAATTTTGGTTTTTAATTACATTTTATTATTTATAGATATATTTTCGCAAATATGTGACCAAAATGGACATATGGTAGCTTGGAAATTTCGAGAATATTTACAAGAAGTATTAGTACTTCCTTCAGCTGTATATGAATCACCTTCTTTTCATTATAGTGATCAGATATCAGCTGAAATATTTTCTGGGGTAAAATACATTTTAGCGATAATAATAATAGATATTTTTATCTAAGAGATTTATTTTTTTTTAATATACCTCGATATTTTTACAATTTATAGAATGGTAAAGTAACTGTAAATGATTTTATGGATTCAATGATGTCAGATCCTGGACCGGCTTGTCTTGTATGGTTACCATTATTGCATCGATTAGCTAGTGTTGAAAATGGTTGGTATATATCAAATTAATATAAGAGTTTATTAAAAAAAAATTGCTTACAATTATTTTTTAGTTACTCATCCTATTTCTTGTGATGCTTGTCGACGTGATAATTTTACTGGATTTCGATATCGTTGTCAAAAATGTCATAATTTTCAAATGTGTCAAGAATGCTTTTGGAGAGGACGAGTTGCATCTAGTCATACAATTGAACATGATGTTAAAGAGTATACTAGTTATGTATGTTTATTATTCTATTTACATTTTATATTCTGAGTAAAATCATGTTTTTATAAAAGTGTACTTTTTTTAATAAAGGTTTTAAAAAAATAATTTTGATTATTAAATATAATAACTGTTTCAATCAATTTAAAATCGATTATACTTTAAAAAAAAATTTTTTTTCTATACTCTCACTTTCTCAGGAGTTTTATAACATATGTTAGGAAGTATATATACTTATTTTTAGATTATCATGATTTTATTGGGATAAATTGAGCTTTACTAAGAAAGTAAAAACTGTATTTTGAATGTAATAATTTATGATTGCTATCAAATTCAAAATACTCTTTCAATACTAATAGTTTCTAGATTATTTACTAATGAAATTTTATTTTACACTATAGAAATCTCCAAGTAAACAAATTGGACATTCTCTTCGAAAATCATTTCGTTGTGTACCAGAAAAAGAAAAGGCTAATATACCTCGCTTTCCTGAGGAACCAGAAAAGACTATTAATTTATCTCATATAATGTAAGATTTATGATATTTAAACTAATCTGTTGATTAATTTTTTACATTTTATCACAGACCTCCATCACCTTTACCATGCCATAATGGTTTTTCTGAATTATCTATTAGTAGTCAATTTAATACATTGGATAGTAAAACAAGTTCAAGAAGGCAAGTTAATTATTTAGTTTATTTAACTATTCTCTATTTTAAATTTAAGAACTGTACTCGAAGTTAGCCAATTTTTTTGAGGCAGTTAGTAACACATTGATTGGGTTTGTTACCCCACCGCGTCAACCATCTCTACGTCTGCTATGTAGTACTGCTACACCTCTATAGATAAGTGTGGGCTATTGAGTATGGTTCTTAACTTAAATTAATAATATATTTTTATGTAATTTTCAAAAAACATTTTAGCCCTGATAAGCGCACAATGAGTTTAGATTATACTTCAATGGATGATGAACATAAATTAATTGCACGTTATGCTGCACGACTAGCTGCTGAAGCTAAAGTAGTAAGTTGAATAAAATTATGTTCTATGAATTATAATAATAACAGATATTTTAACGATTTATGTAATATAATAACTAAAACTTAAATTTGTATACACATTTGTTTTGTTATTAATCATATTTATGTAATAACTATAAGTTTAGCTTTAAAATTATCAGTGCATTTTTAGTAATTTTTTTGATTATTAAGGATTCTTAAAAAAATTAAGTTTTGAAGAAAACGTAAATAACATTTAATTTTTTATAATGCATAATAAATAAATGATTATAAATTATTATTGAATGTATTTCACATAATTTGATTAAAAATAACAAATAATAATATAAGTTTAACAATATTTTTTTTAAAACCTTTTTAAAATTAAAATTATATAATAAATGTTTAAAGTAGTTTTAATAAATTTTGCTAATGACTATTTGAAAGTAATTTAATTTATGATTTCTTCATTATCCAACTGTCTAGATAAATTGTTCGATACAAATTGTAGCTAGTTCAGTGAACTGTTGTTGGATCCTTTTACAGTAAATAATTTAAAACAAGCATAGTTGTTATCTATTATTAAAAAATCTTCAGTAAGAGAACATGATAAAGTGCATAATATTTTAAAATTTTTAGTCTAAATTTAAATTTGAGCAACTAAACTTTTATTATATTATTATATTTATTAGGGCAGAGCTCCATCAGAAGGTTCTTTAAGTTTGGATACTTCTAGAGCTCAAAGAGAACTTATTATTCAACTTGAATCTAAAAATAGAGAAATTATGAAAGAAATTTCAAGACTTAGGTATTATATGACTCATTACTGTGTTAAGTTTATATTTTAATTATGCTTTAAATCTTATGTTTTAAATTATTTTATATAGAAAACAACAAGAAATGGAAGGTTTTTGTTCTGGATTATCTGAAGATAATCCAGCACTTATGAGTGAGCTTCGGGCATTGAGAAATAGAAAACATGAATTAGAATCACATTTAACATCTTTACAGGATTCTAGAAGACAATTAATGGACCAATTGGAAGGATTAATGAAACTTCTGAAAGTAAATAATTTGAGTGATGTATCTATATGTCATTATACATACATACTACTTTTTGTATGTTAATAAATTTAAAAATAATATTACTATTTTATATTTTGGAAAATAATTTTTTTGATACTTACTATCAAGTAAAAATTTGTTACTCAGATATTACTAATGACTTTAAGCTATTATAATTCAATCATATTTTATAGTTATTTTAATTATATCATATTATTAATGTTTTAATTTTTATAGTTAAAGTATTAATTAGTACATTTTTAATGTTCTTTTTTCAACAAAAATTCAATATTTTTTTTAGAATCATCAAGGGTCTCCACGTTCAACTCCAAATTCATCACCACGCTCAACTAAATCTCCTCCTTCCTCTAAATCAGCTCCTCCTACACCCGGTGGAACGCTGACTTCAGCTTCATCACTGTCTATCATGTCTATATCTGACTCATTAATGGCTGGAGATGTAAGATCAGCATTTACTGGCAACTCTTTAGCATGTAAGAAAATTAAACAATCTTTCTTAAAAAAAAGTACCTAGTAAATTAATTAATTTTTAATTTTTGTAAAGGTACGCCTGTTAGTACATCTAGTTCAAATTCTGGTACAAGTGGTTCTGTGACAAATGTCAATCGAAGTTTAAGAAACGATTTATTAGTGGCTGCAGATTCAGTAACAAATGCTATGTCATCATTAGTGAAGGAGTTAAACTCGGGTAAATACATTTTTAAATTAAAAACTATACTTTACTCTTACTCATTTAGTGAAATTTAAATTGCAATAACTTAAAATGAATTTGTAGATAGCCCAGTGAATGAAAATATATCCAACTCTGCAATTCTCAAACCATTAGGCTATAATAAAAAAGAAGATGAAAATATAAAAATTAATAAAGATTTTAGGAGTGATAGTTTATCTAGAAGTCAATATAATAAGGTAAGATATTTCAAATTAATTTAAAATATATCCAATAAATAACTTAAATAATTACATTACGTATATATTACTGTTTATAGGCGAAGATGCAAAATAATCAAACAGATAGTTGTACATCTCCTGCTAATGTAATTATATGAATTATTACTATAAGCAGGGCTCAGTTTCTTATGAAAATGTATATTTATTCTTTAATGCTTACTTAAAAAAATTCTGATTATATATTTAAACATGTTGCTATTTTATAATATTTATTCTATTGTTAAGACACTTACTCATATAGCTTATTATTGATCATATAAGTACTCATATTTTATGTACTTTACTGATCTTTACATATATTCTGTGCACTGAATAATTCTTTTATTGAACAACACTCAATGTTTCAAAATCTATCAGCAATAAAACATTTATAAATTTATTTATTAGCAAAATAAAATATTTTGGAGTGATTTTAATAATTAAAAGCTTAATTTAGATATTTAGTTTATGGGTTTCAAGTATCTAATGTTTAGGTGAACTGAGTGGAGTGGTAAAGTGATATCTTGAAAGATGATGGTTTACTACTCTGCTCATCAAAATTTAAATACTTATAAGTTATAATTCATAAACTACTTGTCCAAATTTTGAATTTTGAACATTGAAATACTCCAAAAAAATAAACATTTTATCATAAGATTTAATTTTAAAATCTAATCACATAATTTAACTAAATTTTTTTTAAATTTATTTAGATGAGACGTACTACTAATTCTGGTTCAAAAACTAATTCTCCAGAAACTGATTCAATGACAAGATGGCGATAACTTTTAAATTATTCGTAATTTTATTCTTAGTATAACTTACAGTTTTTGATTTATTTTTTCATAAACATTTAAACTGAGTATTATATATGTGTATAATATAATATTAATGTAGTTTTATAATAAGTCATTACTGTTTTTTTTTTTTGTTATGTATTTGCTTTTTAATATCTATTGTTGATTAGATTTATACTATTCTATAGTTGGACTAGCTATATTTGCGACTTATTTATTAATCATTATTATTGATTGTTACCTATTGGATAGTATTATAAAATATGATTGAAAAGTATTAGTTTGGACAGTACATAATATTAGTCTTCCAATCTTTAAAATAACTGTAGAGAAAAAAAAGTATTATAATATGTTACTTAAATAAGATTTAAAAAAATTAATTATTATTAAAACTTTACTAATAAAGTGAATCAAACTTAAACAATGATATCTCAATATTTTTGATATATTGAATATATACATTTTTCCTTCGAACACTATATTACTAAATTGGTTTTTAATATCTCATTTTGTTTATAAATATAATATTCATTTAAGAGGTTATTTTGTATGTTTTTGTTTTTTAAATAAAATATTTACTTCAACTGACGCATAATGTAAAACCTTATTGAAAAATGTAAATTTGTTTTCAAAATTATTTTCGGATTATACTTTATAGAGAACAATTAAATTATGAATGATTGGTTTTCTACTAAAAACAATGTAGAATATTAGTAAATTTTGTCAATTTTTATAAAAATTTAATCTTATTAAGCAAGCATACATGCATGTGTTAGATATGTATTATTTTAAATTACCTAAATTAGTTTTAAAGAAGTATTTAATTATGGTATCTGTATTATTATTAATAAATTATAACATATATATTAAACCTATCTTTAATTATTTAAAAATTAAAAATAGATTTTTTATGATATGTAAATTTTTTTATAATTACTATTTGACTTAAAATAAATATTATTAAATTATAACAATACAAAAGTGTTATTATTTTGTTTATATTATTTTACAATATTTTGTAAATTTAAAAAACTGAAAAACTTTCTTTGCGGTATACTCGTAGAAGGTTTCAATTATATCCCATCACCGAATAGTACAGTAAATTATAATAGATGTGTTAAATCTTAATTCAATAATATTGTTTTGTATCTACCAAAAATAATTCTGTTGTGGATTGCTCTACTATTCTCTATTCTTTAAGACAATTGTAATATAATTTATTTATATTATTTATCTTTTACAATTATTGTGTAGTAATAGAATTATTTATTTTTATATAACTAATGTCATATACCATACCCTGCAAATTAAAATTAGAAATAGAAGAAATTCTTAAAAAAAAATGTTATGAATAGGAAAACTGATTCTTTTTCCGGAAACCTAAAAAATTACTCTTAGTCAAATTTAAGAAATTGTTTTGAACAGGCTTTTTTATGTTAATAATTATTTTATTATTGTTACTACTTTTAAATATGAATTGATAAAGACTCAACAGGATGGTGTAAAAAGATTTGTGATATAAATTATAAATAGTTTAAAATTGGTATACATTTTTAGCGAATCGGTGTTGTGTACACTGTACACTACAATGAACATACAGATACAATGTGTGTTGTAGGTACTAGGTAAATATCGATAACCTATTGTAATAGGTACACATTTTGCCTAAGCTATACGCCGTGCATCACTAAATTCTTGCGTGGCCTGGTGGCCTCCAAGTAGATAGTAGTATGTATATTTGTAAAATAATATATTATTTTAAATATTTATATTTTATATATACAATGTTTTTATCGATGTATATAGCGTACATAGTAGGTATTAAAAATTTTACAATTATAAAATGATAAACTTCGACATAAATTTGGTTGATATTAAGATTCAAGACTCGGTGTTAAATTAATTAGAACAATATGAACTAAAGAGTCGTAATAGAATAAATATACAAACTGTGTTTTTGAAAAAAAATACTCTTTTCTGGATGTTTACAGAAGTTGATTAATAATAAAACAATTCCGCATCTGTTGCAACTACAATCTGTATACTCCAGTATAAGCCATAATAGGAATTATTCATGTATTTTAAATTTTTTATGTTTTCAAATATTTAATATGTATAATTCTTAAATATTTAAATATTTAAATTGTGTAAATAATAAATATTAAATTAAGCTATCCATTATCAATTATCACTTATTACTATATCAATACTATGTAAAAATACCTATCAAAAGTTTAAAAATAAAACAATTTATCAAAGTATAATATATACCTTGTAAATTAGTAATAAAAACACGATAATTGATATTATGAAAGTATTAAGACTTACAAACAAAAAAATTCAACCTAAATGATGGATATTTCAATAATTTTTAATTATTAACATTCACAATAAATTTCTTTTATTCTCATTTTTGTTGAATGTGCAGGCGCGACGTGAATTTGCATGGTCCTTATCGGCGGTACCTTTTTAGTCGTACGATTGCGCGAGCTATATTATTTTTATTTCTAAGTATTGTTGCCAAATATATAAGTTCATGCCGTTCATGGTAAATTCGTACGATAATATAGTAGATTATTTACTACTTATTATTACTGATACCAGACAAACTTACCATCATTAACAATATTAACATCATTAAGAAGCAATAAGTTATATTTTAAATCATATATAGGTACTTTTATAATGAACCAGAATTATTGTCTTTATTTTAAATTCCCATACATGTACAAATATATTATATAACTATGATATAAGCAGTATAAGCGTTCATGATGTGACTATACTAATGAGTATTTATTTTTAATTGTTTTATTTTTTTTTTAAACATAATTCTTTATTCAGCAATCTATTATAAAAAAAATAAATGAACAATGAGCTTAATTGATAATATATATTAATAATCAATAAAAGTCTTAAAAAAAAATAATCATTGTCAACTATAATATTTTGCTATTTATTTTTAAAACTACAAACGGGACTGATAGTTTTTATAGCACATATAACGCACAATTTAATAGTGTTCATCCACCGATATTTGTTGCTAAAACTACCCTTATGTAAACTCAGGCAAAAACATTTACCAAATTATCAACTATTTCCAAAGGAATAATCAAACCAAAATAGAAGGAAGGATTACAGAAAATTAAATTTATCTGTAAGCAACACAAAGATTATGTAAAAAATAAAACACCAGAAAATATACTTAGGTATTTGACCATAATTAGAAATAGATATTGGAGCTTTAAAATGAATGTATTTGTATCTGTATTTAAATATTAAAAAAATTATGAAAAAACTTTAATTTTGTTTAATAAAAAATTTGGCAACGTCGCAACAAATTTCATGCGCATCATACGACTTTATTATTTTAAATCATGTCCTTTGTTATTCTGAGCACTGTGCGCAATCGTATACCTAAAAAGGTAAAACGCGCGCAATTATACTCCGCCAAAAGGTATGATAGGTAAGATATTTATTTTTGAGAAAAAAAAATTAACAATTTAATACAAGATTTCTCATAATTTGTTTATATTGCAATTTAAAAATATCAAAATTATAATTGTATAATTTTTTTTATTACACGTGTTGTACAATATATGTTGACAAAACTGGATATTTAACGAAAATTAACGATTATAACTATCTATTTTGTTGTAAGTTTATTCCATTAATATTAATCAAAAACACCGTTTCGTCTATTATTATTTACCATCAATATTAAAAATTTTATGTAGATTAATTAGTTGTTTATGCCACAAACCTATTAACGCCGGTTGGTTATATCGACTTAAAAGTTAATACAGCTAGTAAAAGTACATGAATTAATATTAAGGTATAACTACTCACAAATAAATGCAATTCGTTTTTGGAATGAAATATGAATTACTTGTTACTTATTAGTTAGGTATTGTTTAAAATAATGAAATTATAACATAGTACAATATATGGTTTGTAAATTTTGTCATATTAAAATATTTATCATCTATGGCAATTTTTAATCATCGCTATTCGTTGAAAACTATTAACAGTTATAATAATTTCAATGTAGAACAAAAATAGACGTACAATTCATTAATCCATACTTTACTATAAGCATATTCCGTTCCATTCATCTTATTTTCATAAAATATCTCAATATCTTCAATTCTAGACGGCGGATGAAGAAATCTGTATCTTCGGTAGCGATATATTTGTACATTAAATATGACGAAACTAAGTTTCACCAAGAGTTCTTTGTTTACGTAAGTTTGATTTCCTTTTCTTTTGAAGCTATATAATTTACTTTTTAGACTTAAAATAAACGTACATTCATTGCGGTGGACAATCTGCTACCCGGCGGATTACGTAGATGTATATTTTATTTCCGAATACGCAATGAATAAAATACATGAACTCGAATATACGTAATTGAAATTTTATCAAGTCCATTTTACAGAATAATATTTTTTTATTGTTTCACATTTTTAATCAGAAATTTTCCTCATTATAAATATGCAAAAGGCGTGTGATGTAAAAACGATTTACTCATATTATTTGACTATGTAATAAAGTATTATAGGCATTTATAAATCATTTGATATCAACTTTCAAATTTCATGTTTTAATTTAATTTTAAATTTAATATCTTTAAAATTATTTACATACAATTTTGAGTTTAAGTACAATAATTTTTATTAATGCATATATAATATTCTCCTGCTTTGGGTTTGACTTTATTGTGTAACTTTTGAACGACTTAACCGTTTTCAATAAAAGTTATATCAATAGATTTCTCGAGACTCTGAGAGTGAGGAGTGTTCATAGTTTCTTATTCCAACCCAAATAGGTTTACTATTGAATAGCTCACGGAAATTAAATATATATTTTCATTATTATTTAAATGGTTGCCGTTGTAAGTTACTATTACTATACTATAATAATTAAAAGAAATATAATACATAAATTATTTTGAAAAAATAAAAATAAAAATTTTAAAACCAGATATT